TAACTTGTGGGGCTCACATCTGTGTGTATGCTTTATCATTTTAGCTGGAAGTAGAATGTGACTGTTCAGAAATGGGAGGCTTTGAAGATCTCTTATGGCTAAGAAGTAGCTGCAAGTTAAAGGGTCTGGTGATGCAACTAAAAATCTTCTCAAGGATGTGTACTCATGGGCAGCCCTGCCCTCACACTGTTGAGCCTCAAGGTTAATGTTTTGTCACAGGCTCAAAGAAGGAAGTAAGGCAATGACTCTTTCAAATATCAGTTCTTTTGCTTTTTGTTCTTAGAGCTTACATAAAATGAAGATCTAAGTAAACAACACTTGAAGAGTGGAGAGAAACTCTAATCTGTAAGTATACGCAGAGTGAACAAAAGCCTTGGTTTGCAAAGCTTTTAAAAGAATGTTTGCGACTTAAGGGGAAAAAAGTATTCAATTGTCTATTTACTTTATTTTGAACACATTTTAAAGCTTTTCTGCACAACTGTTTTCTCTTTGTGTTTTGTAATTTCCTAGTACAGAAAAACATTGCTTCATTTTGTTTTATTTTGCTACCTTGTAGTTCTACACTGCCTTCTAAAATTTTGTTTTCTTCATGCAGTGCATTTTGTTTTCACCCATATTTTTGTGTGTGTTTGATATCACCCAGTCTCTCTAAAGACCAGAAGGGTTTGTCATCTCTGATAAGATACAGCTAGGAAGGTAAATGATGATTTTTAGGAAGACTTCATGGTTTCTAATTTTTTGTGTAAAAATAGTGAAAATCTCCAATGAAAGATTACTAATCCAACATGTTTTTCCATCCCCTTTGCTCTTCAATAGACTGAATTTAAACTACAAAGTATCAGTATAATGTTAACACAGCCTGCAAGATATCAGTCAATGAGGGACAGAATGAGTTAGAGGAATCACTAGAAGTTGTTCGCAAAAAGTCAACGTCTAAATGTAAACATGCACTTGATATTTCATATCTTTTGTATTTTTAGTGTTTTCCACTAAGCAGATTCAATACTTCAAACTTCAGGTGTGTGTCATTATTCTGAAATGAAAGGAATTCTGCAATTATTCTAGTGGCATAGCCTGCATTACCACAACACAGCATGGAATTAGAGCAAATTGAAATGCAATTATAATGCCTTCAACAGAAAGCATCTCTGAGACTAAATGAGGATATCTGTGAAACAAATGCAGATTTTAAACAGACTTTCGTTAAAAAATATTTGTATTTTGCACTTTCTTCAGGCTAGTCTAGTTCAGTGCAGAAATGTCAGTTCTGAGAAACATTCATGTTTCAAATTTATTAAGTCTGTCAAAAATAGAAATCTTTCATTTGAATTGAACTTTTTTCCCCTCCAAATTCAAATGAAACTTCTCAGTTGGGTGCATGCAGGCTTCAAACGCTTCTTCTGCAGAACCCAATTGTCAGAACACATGAAAATCTGTGTGAAGCCTGCCAGTCTCTCAGCAGACGTGTATGGGGGGATAAATTTTGCAAACACTTGTTATACAGATTAGAGCTTTGGCAGAGATTGTAAGTGTCATCATTTCTGACAAATGGTTTTTTTTTTCAGCAAGTTGATATAATGTTGATGTAATATAATGGTGACTCATGGATCAGGTTGGGAAAATGATGTGCAATGAATGGAGCAAACCAGTGACAGGGTGATCTGGATTGCTAAGTCAGAAGCAAACAAGCAACATGCATTTTACCATTGCAAAGTCATTCATCTAAGAACCAAATAAGAACATAATGGCAGTGCAGTGATGAGCCACAGGTATGACTGAAATCAAGAGATGATAAATATCTTCTGTCCCTTATCTCTATTTATCTCCAGGTATCTATAGGGGAAGTAAAAATTTGACAAAAGGTTTTTAAATCTGAAGAGAGAATCAGAAGCACACAAAATGCCTGGAAGCTGAAGTTGTACAAATTCTGTCAGAAAGATGGTAATCTTTTTTTCTCTTTCTTTCTTTCTTTTTTTTTTTTTTTTTTTTTTTTAAATAGTAGTATAAATAACAGTAAGACAAGAGAAACAAATTCCTGAACGTTGGAATGAATATTTTTTACTTGGAAGATTTTGACAGAGATCAAATTGTTTTCATAAATCATAGAGTCACACAATGGTTTGGGATGAAAGAGACCTTAAAGATCATTTAGTTCCAACTGTTCTGCTATGGGAAGGGGCACCTTTCACTCGACCAGGTTGTTCAAAGTCCCATGCAGCCTGTCCTTGAACACTGCCAGGGATTGAGCATTATGACTTGTTCTGACCTGAAGAAAGCAGTCCAGGTTAGTCTTGCAGACTGTGCTGCACAGACAGTTACAAGAAGTGAGTGTGGTGACCTTATCCACACCAACAACTGTCAAATCTTGAATGCACAAGAATCTTTATTCTGACCATATTTTTGAAAGAACCCAGTCTCTGGTCTCCTGGTAACCTACCTCCTTTGTCAGACTAAAACAGAGATATTTTTGCAATTGTCCTCAAGCCTTTAGCACCAGCTACTGCTATGGCACTCAAATTGAAGTGGTGCCCACCATTGCCACATGGCTGTTCAGTAGGCTATAGCTTTGTGAATGTCATTACAATAGGAAACCTCATTTCACCAGAAAGCAGCATTTCCTCTGTGAAGCATACCCTGTGTCATGCTATACTCTCTATTCATCACACAATGATATTTCAGTGGGATGCCTGCAGTCTTGAGGAGCTGATAATCTTTTATCATAGCTGCCAGCAGCCTTTTTTTTTGAAGATTAATTAAAATTACATTTCCTGCACAATGTTACAGCGTGGAGATTTAACGATGACCACAAAATTCTGCAGAAACCTTCATTTCAGTGTTTCAGTTTCTTATTTGCAGAGAGAAGTAGGTCTCTTGCTGTTCCCTTAATCAGAACATCTGATGAAGATATCAGTTATCTGACTTCTGCTTACCTGTTCTTACTGCCTTCAGTTCAGGTTTCACCGTCGGGCTCTGAAGAGTGACCATTAGGGGTTCTTCCTCTCCAAGTGCAGCCTGCTTCTGGGGCTGCTCACACTAATCCACATTTCCAGCATATTGCCTTTAGGGCTGTGGTGCTTTTAAAACTTAACTTTTAATATGCATTTTAACTCATAACAGTGTGATAATGTCACTTTTTAGAGACATCTTTTCAAATTAAAGCCTAACAACTTGGAGAAACAGATGAAGAGCTATTGCTAATCCCTCCTGACTTGCATGATTGTGAGGTTGAAACGCAATGTCTCAGAAATGAGAACAGAACTGGAAGGAACTTGCACCATTTCTGATGCAAGAGCTGCAGTGTGCCAATCTACCTTGACTTTGAGAAAAAGTTCTTTCCTTTCAACCCATTATACTTCTCCTAATGCACTGGAATTAGTTGTCCATGTAACTCTGAAATCAGGATCAAACAGAAAATGTCAGTAATGCCAACAAGCAGCATATCAATTTGAGATATGGCTGTTATATTTATATTGGTTATAATAAAGTATCTGGAGTCTTAGATGCATTGGGATAGCTAGAGAATAACCAACTTTTCAAAGTCTGAACAGATCTTGATTACTGTAAGTGTGAGGATTAGGAATATTGCCAAGAAACAACAAAAAAATCTGAGGTGCATGACAGATATTCATTCCCCACTATGAGAAAAACCAGTTTATGAAACTGTATAGGCATCTTGTCTTTTCCATAAAAACAGAGGACTAAAAACTTTTGTCCTCTTCCAAATTTGGCATTATGTGCTGCCTAAAAAAAAAAAAAAAGAAAGTAAACTGAAACACCACTCTTACGAAAAGATTGAGGAACTACTTTCTGAAGCTAAAACATTGAGGTATTAAATGAAATATCACAAAAACTCAGTTGGGAGAAGACCCCCTCTTGTGTTGTGGGATTCACTGGTGAAATGGATGACATACCAGAGTCAGTTTTAAATTACAGTTCAGGTATCAGTAGCACTATAACTGGGATAGTACAGAGCCCAGCACCGTTCAGTTTTCCCTGCTTCTTTTCTGTGACTGTAGTGTGGACATCCTCTGGACATCTACATACATGCAAATATGCTTCAGGATAACACCCTACCTGAACTTTTCACCCCCCCATATGATCTTGTAGTACTTAAAAATCCTACGAGAAGCTGCATTTAGAATTATAAGAGTGATATGTAATCTCTCTTTGAAAGAGTAATATATTAAAAACATGTAGCATACTTATTAAATTTTCTATTAACTTGTATCTAGCTTCTGCACAGGCCAGGCAGGCTGATTTACACTTACCTGGGGTGTCCTTTCCCAATGTTTTCCAGCAGCCCATTTCATAACACCAGGTAACTAAATGTAAGATGTGGAATGGCCCTGAGCACCAGGACAGCACTGCCCACGCTACTTGGTCTGGCAGGATCTGGGCAGGATCTTCATGGAGTCTGGGTATCCGTGGTGTTTAATCCCTTGCTCAGATAAACTGTCCACAAAGAAGGAGTGTGTGCAAAACCTAGCTCTTGGTAACAAACAAAATTTGTACCTTTGACTGAGCAACATATGGTTGTTATCTGGCTCTGTGAAGGACAGATTTGTGTTGCAAATAAACAAATTGATGAATGAGTAGCAGAATTCAAACAAGATCTCTGATCTTCACTGTAAAAGCATGCAGATGCTCAGAATAGAGGAGAACTAACAACAGCACTAACCTACCACAATCATGTAATTTCTCTAAGGATCTTTTCTTCCCACATATTATTGACTCATGGTTGTTTTTAAGGGTATGGCTAGCAATGTCTTGAGGACTGAGCAGTTTCTCTGCCCAACCTTCTCTTCCGTTTTCCTCTAGGCTGAAGGATGTTTGGATAAAACTACTGGTTACAGCTACTGTACTGTTACAGTGCTGGTGCCATCTGTGAGATTTCACGATTAGTCCTTGGGCAAGAGCCAGGTGGAAAGTGCTACTAGCTTTTTAGATAAGCCCTCTCATTCCTACTTTATCTTAGTCTTTCTGTATTCTTTAATTTCTAGAATATGTACAAGGAAGATTTCAGGAACATGACTGAAGAGACTGGGAACAGCAGTGACTCCTCCTCAGCCTTCATTCACACCAGCACCATGAGTACCATACTGATTACTGTCTACTCAGTTGCCTTTGTTGGAGGTGGAATTGGGTCCATCACAATGTCATTTGTGCTGTTCAGTATGAACACTCTGTCTGTGACCACTACTGCCATCATTAACCTGGTTGTTGTGCATAGTCTCCTCCTCTTCACGATGCCCTTCCGCATCCACTATTATGTCAACAAGAAGTGGGTATTCAAGATGCCATTTTGCAAAATGGTGAGTGCAATGGTGCACATCCACATGTACCTGACCTTCCTATTTTATGTGATCACTCTGGTCATCCGGTGGCTGATCTTCTTTCAATGGAAGGACAAAGTAGAGTTTTATAGGAAGCTGCATGCGGTTGCGGCAAGTGCTGCCGTGTGGGTCGTTGTCATCATCTTTGTGGTGCCTGTTTTTCACTTCCGGTATGGACACTCAGGCTCATACAATGATACAACATGCTTCAAGTTCCACAAAGAACTACAACGGGAGAGCGTGAAAGCCCTAAACTACATCCTAATTGTAGCTGTTGCCTGCATTTCCTGTGTCCTCTTGGGCCTGCAGATTTTTATCCTGGTAAAAGTGGCAAGGAAACTTTCCACCTCTTTCTGGTCACACCAAGAGTTCTGGGCCCAGGTGAAAAACTTGATTTTCATCTGGGTCATCATAATTTGCTTCCTTCCCTATCACCTCTTTAGGGCCTACTACGTACAACATATTAGGGATTTTGGCCAGTTAGAAAGCTACAATGAGGTTTTTTTGAGCCTGACTGCCCTGAGCTGTCTGGACCTGCTGTCATTTGTGCTGAGTGGAAGCCGCTTATTCAAGCAAAAGGTAGGGATGCTCAGCAGCAGGTTGCGTTGCTGCTAGTGTCAGCCTCCTGCGGCATGTGTGGACTTGGACCTGGGAAAGGATGGTGATGGACAGGCATGACAAACAGTAAGTCAGAGTGGGCCCTGGAAACAGTGCAACACACTCACAGGGGGCTCTGCACACCGGCTCCCTGCAGTAATGTGCCAAACTGCCTCCGGTGTCTCAGCTGGCACTGGAAGGTGACCTCAGGGATTTCCTCATGGGGCTACACAGTGAGTTGCGAATGGATCTGGAGAAGAGTGAAGAAAGATCCTGAGCTCTTCTGTCTTTTTTTTTTTTTATTTCTACATTAAGGTTTGTGAAGTCAAAGGCACTAGGAGAAGATCTGAGAATTTGCAGTGCAGAAACACAAATAGAAAAGCAGGTTTTTACAGACTAATGTACAGATTTTTGAAACTCAAAGACCTATAAAATTTTACCACTCATCTCATATGTATTCTCCACAAGCTCTCATAAAATATCAGGAAACTATAGTTCCTCCTGAGCAGGTCTGTTCCTTCGCTGTAAAGACAAACAGAACTTTGTAAGTGAATTAACAATTAAACAAACTATTTAAAACCAAACCAGCAATAAATAGTTATTTCTTAAAATACTTTTTTCAAAATCATCTTTTGGAGATGGTATCTCTGTAGCAGAAAAGAGTTTTGTTGTCTAACAAAAATTACATATTGCTGCTGAAACGAACAGTGCAAGTTCAAACAAAAGCCTTATTATTATGTATTATTCTTTACAGAATTATTCAATTTTAAAAAATATTTTACAGTGAGGATCATTTTATTTAGATCATTCAGACACAGTTGTTTTGTCTTAAAATGTCAAATATTTTAGGTATCCAAGGTAACAATGTTTTTTTTAAAATCTTATGTTGATTTTGTGCAATTCTGAAGTTGATAACTAATTACTCACAGTATCTTTAGCTTGAAATCAACTCTATAAATTTTGTACTCTACTGGGAGAAGGAATGAAAATGTTATTGCTTGGATTGGAGGAACGGCAAAAGCTAATAGAACTAGTGTGGCTAAAAAGCTTGTTATATCTCAGTGAGGCATAGTCAGCTGCTGTCTCTGAAGACAGAATTGAATTCTACTAGAAAAGACAAAAAATTCAGCAAAATAATTCTGTGAAAGACATTCAGGCTTTCATAGCTCAGCTGCTTTCCACCTATCCCCAAAAAAGAATATTAATCCCTGACTTGTATAATCCAAGGCATCAATTGCTAATATATCTTTCTTTTTTTTTTCTTGCCGTTCTGCATAAGTCCACATTTTTTCATCTAGAGTCAGTGGGATATTAACTTAATCATTTGTTGAATTAGAGGTTATCAGCTGATAAATTTCCAGTGACAGTCTCTCCTTATGATGCTGTTGAAGTCCACCTTTTCATACTTGTGAATTTTTCCATTCCTTTCTGCTTCACCTTCAACATCTCTTGCACACGAGACAGCAATCAAACAACAATTGGTTGATCTTGCTGTACCCGTGCGATATCACAGCTATGCTCATTGGTTTTGGTCCCACCAAAATGGTTACTTTATAGTATCCCATCTCTTCTATAGTCTTTCTTCCCTGTCTTCCTTCTCCTTTATATCTCTCAGGATGTTTGATCATAAAAAGGTATTTTCAGGTCAGAGTATGAGTCATGCTATACAACATCAAAAGTTGGAAATCACTGAAGTTCATACCACAGCTGAGATGTCGGGCTTCTCGCATGGCTCACCCTCAGCAAACAGCCTGGATCACAACATCTGCTAAGAAAGAAATTGCAGTGTGTGTGGATCTGGGAAAAATCTGTCTGAGACAGCATTTGCTCCCAAAGGATCATGGCAAAGAGGAAGTCAACTACCAGCGAGATTCAATGGTAGTCTGGGAAATACAAGGGACTTTCACAACATGGAAGGAGACAAGTTCAATGAGTAGTTCACTACTAGTTAATGGTGCGTCATTAAGAAAACAATAAACTGCTCATATCTAGGTATATTTTAAGGCTACACAAACACATCATTTTCTCCTTGAGGCGAGAGAGGATGGAACATGGCACAACATTTTTGTTTCTTCCTATAGCAACATGATTGGTTAAAGAAAATGCCTTGCATGTGTTCTGTAAGCACTGCATAGCTTTGTAACAATGTATTATAACCCTTCTATCATAATAAAGTTGTTAACAAACAAAATGACTATGTGCTGAAAAAATAAAGCAAGTCTTTCCTGCAAAAATACATGTAAACTGAAAATATTTTGTATCTGAATTTCAAAAGACTTTCAAAAATTGAAACATATATTTACAAACAGTAGCTCCTGACCATGCAGCCCAACTAATCTTGTTTATCTATGTGGTAAAATCAAAAGTTGCTTAATTCTTCTAAAAATGCACACATTATCAATGGTCTGCACCATAACATCACAAAAAATACTAGTGTCTTTTTTTCCCCCCAAATAAAAATTGATGCTAATGATGTTAATACTAACTCAGCATGATAATGAGCAGATTAGTGGTTGTAATTTCATGATTTAAGTGGTGATATTATCCAGCACCAAGTCATGCTTTTATGGGACTGTCTATGTAAACTTTACATCTGCCACTTGCCTTGTTTTATGACAGTAAGTGTCTGGCAGAGAAAGCCTGCGTCCACCCTGAGAGACTGAAATCTCTGTTAACTCTGGCAGGAATTGACCTGCCAGATGGTGACAAAGGTGATACTTCCAGCAAGAGTGCTGACAGGACTTGAAAGGAGAACAAGTTACTGCTCCCTCCAGCCTCCCCCTGCTTTGCCTTTCACCAGTTTCTTGATCTCTCCCACCCTCCCAGGCATCATCCTTGAATGCTTTCCCTGGGATGTCTGAAGAGAGGTGGAGGTGCCGCCATGCAATGCCACAGAGGAGAAGAGTCTGAATAAATCCTGAAAATGAAAGTGTAGTCAAAGCCAGAGCAGCACCCAAAACATAGCCAAATGGCTCTTGTGACCAGGGATGGCAGAGGCAGTGATGGGAAACTGTTGAGATGTGGGAGACAATCTATAGAGGAAGGGGAATTTCCATTGCCATCACCTACTCGGTCAGAGGCACCTCAGCCTTGAAGGAGACCCTGATTTTTCTGACTGGGTCACGGAGAATAGTTCTGGGCTGGAAAACAACCACATTATAACACAAAACCCGTATTACAGAAGGACATAGAGGGGATAGAACCTGAAGAATGTGACAGGGGATGAGGATAGTAGAGCAGAATATTAGCATGTTTATGCCACACAGTAGCAAGGTTATATGGACTGCGCCTCCGGTCTTCATCTTACACTGCTTATTGAATCCTTAGACTTGCCAAAAAGTGTCAGTCTCAGTGGTAGGAGAAAACTTGCCCTCAGACACTCATTATTCGCACCCTTGCATTACTGTTTCCATAGGGCTGGTATTTGTCTGATGAATGTCTTTCAGCTGCATCAGTTCCCTCTCTAGCTCACCAGGGAGTAATGGAAAATCAATTCAAGGCAAGGTTAAATACAGCAAGACCTCTTTTTGCAGCAATGCTGATTTGAGGTATTTATCAGATCTTTTCTTTCCACACAGTTTTCCACAGGTCTATGTCATGTGACATTTCCATTTCCATGTATTACCAAGAACCAGGGTGCCTTAGACTAAGGGTACTGGCTGAGGAAGAAAGGACCTCCACAGCTACAGGTCAAGAAATGGATTTCCGAGGTTTCAGGCACTTGATGCTTTCTTCAGGAATGCAGAGATGGGCATGACAACTCCTGAAGGCAGCAGAGGCAGTAGTTCCTGAACAGAAACCTCCTGAACAGAGTTGTAGGATTGGACATTTGTGAACCATAAAGTCATTCATTTCTGTGGTTTTCATAGAAATGGGACTTTGTGTGCATTTTCCCTATAAGTAAACTCTATGGCTAGGACTTGATTGCAAGCAAGGGCTGGTTTCAAAAGTCAAGGGGTCATTAATAAAACACCAGCTGGACTTCCTAGAGAGAAATTTCAGAAAATCAAACTAAACTTTCTGGTGTTCAGTGAGGTAATTTTCCCCACTTGCAAACAGCTACCTACTAAACCAGATTTTTGCTGGATGGAGAAAAACCAATAAAGGTATTATACAGTGTCCATTCCCTGAAGGCTAGCTGTAAGTAATGTGTACCTCTTTTTTCTGGTGAGGAAGCAGACAGGTCAGCTGGCTGCTTTCACCCCTAACCAGTAACTTCCCTCACTCCCAGAAATGCTTCCAGTTTGGGACTGTCTGGCTGGTTTTGCTTGTCAGCCCTGGTAGCTGTGCCCTCAATGAATTGTGTGCCACCCATGTACAACTGGGGCTCAGAATCATAGAATCACAGAATGGGTAAGTTTGAAAGGGACCACGGTCATCCTAGAGCACATTGCACAAGACTGTGTCCAGAAGATTCTTGAATATCTCCAGTGACAGAGACTCCACAACCTCTCTGGGCAATCTGTTCCAGTGCTCGGTCATCCACACAATAAAGTTCTTGCTCATATTCAGGTGAAACTTCCTGGGCATCAGTTTCTTCCTGATACCTCTTGTCTATTGCTTGGCACCACGAAAAAGAGCCTGGTTCCATCCTCTTGACACTCTGCCTTCAGATACTTAGAAATGGTGATGAGGGCCCCACTCAGTTGTCTCTTCTTGGGGTTGAACAGGCAACTCTCTCAGCCTTTTTCATGAGAGATGTTGAGATGCTCCAGCAGAGGAGTAAAGATGCTCATCTTCGTAGCCCTTTGCTGGAGGGCTCCTCCACTCCAGGAGCTCCATGTCTCTCTTGTGCTGGGGAGCTTGGAACTCGACACAACACTCCAGATGTGGCCTCACTAGGGCTGAGTAGAGGGGCAAGATCACCTCTCTTGACCTGCTGGCAGTGCTCTTCCTAATGCACCCCAGGATACCACTGGTCTTCTTGGCCACAGGGGCACACTGCTGGCTCATGGACAGTTTGTTGTCCACCAGGACACCTAGCTCCTTCTCCACAGAGCTGTTTTGTGTCAGGTCAG